CTGCCAGCGCTGGCACACGGTGGACAGGGGCGCAGGTCTGCAGGAAAGCGTCGTCGGGATCATGAGTATCGTCCCTGCTGATCTTCATAATGTCATCGTGGTCCGTATTGTCATCATACGTGCTGTGATGGCCAGAAAAACTATGACTATGCCTGACTTCATCTGCGGCTATAACCGTCTCCTGCCATCTGTCATGGCGATCACAAGCCGGTAATGTCAGTGACACAACATCTGCCCTACGAGCGGGGAAAAGAACACACTGCCTGGATCAGCATCTTTGTCATTCGATGCAAGTAAATGGTACGATGGATGCTGCTGCTCCGGCGTGCCTGGAGAGCTCAGCTGGGTGGCCGACACATCTTGCATCACAGTACGGGCTGCACTGGTGCAGTATAGGTCACTTGTAGGAGATAGCTCGGAGAGCGGTAGATGCGAGGTGGCCGCAGGGGCAACTAGAGAAGTGAGGAACAGGCTACTAGAGGGAACTTGCCCATAGGCCTTCAATGTACCTCTGTGCTCCTCTGGCCTCACACGAGTGATTCCCACTTCGTACCATGCGGAAAAGCTTTCAACTAAGAATCAGATTGCGAGATATACAAAATCCGGCTGATAGTGATTACAGCAGAGCCAAAAGTGTAATCAGACAAAAATCGAACGGATTTTGGACAGGAGCGCTCAGATTCTGCTGCAATCGGAATCTGGGTCACACGATTATCAAAATCCCGCAGATAGTGCCCAGGATGCTGTCCGCGGAGGCCCTGTGTAGCCAACTGTCATTTTCTTTAGGGGTTTTCTCTTCTTTCACTCTCCCCTTTCCAATAAGGCATTGGATCCATAGTGCTTTTCTACAGGTACGTGTACTTGCTCAATGTCAAATAGCAAGACTCTTTGGATCCAGCAATTCACTGTTGCATTAGATTGCAAGTTTGGATTATTGAGCATCCTCTTAATGTACTTTGCATTTACCTCCACTCACAGCTTTTTGGCTCCAATGATATAGAGTCTATAGGCTCTCAAAGTCTGAAAGAGCCCATACAGCTCTAGCTTAGGCTGGAAGCACCTTGATTCTCTATCATTCATAAGTATAGATTTATACTGCGCAGATCTCTTCCTTCTCTTCTCATCCACCTGGAATAAGATGAATTCTACCACACTATAACTAGTGTCCACAGACAATACAATGGATCAATCTGAAGTATAGTCAATGGAATGCAAGGCTGGAGGTGACGTGATTGCCTTTTTCAACTCTTCAAAGACCAGTTACCTTTGCTCATTCCAGACAAACTCTGCATCATGTCACATTAGCTTAGTAAGAGGCCTAGCCTTTACTAAGTAGTTTTTTTATCTAGATGCACACAGTACTGCATAGTTCTAGAAATCTGCATACATTCTTAGATGTCTTCAGAGGTGGCCAGCTCAAGATCTTCTCAATCTTTTGCTTATCTGAAAGCCACTCTTGAGGTGTATAGTGCTGTCCTATAATTAGAACTTCTGGTTGCACCAGTTGCACCTTGTTAGGAGAGAATGTTTTACCTACATGCTAGACTCAATGAATAATGCAATGGACATTCTGAGCATGTTCCCATATAAACCTTCAAATGCCTTGGTTCCCTCTCAAAACTTCTGGCTTTCTATCAGGTCCCTCATAAATACTTGCAAGTTCTTTGATTGGCAAGTCATCAATAAAAATGTTTACAACATGAGAAATCTCTCTTTGCAGAATAAATGCCATATATGCCTGGAACTTAGTGGGAGAATTAATGAAATCAGTGGGTAACAAAGTGATGCAAAGTAACCTAAGAGATATTAGAAATGCTGTGAGATTATGACTTTCAGGGTGAACTTTACATGCATAAAATTCTCAGTACAAGTTAAAGACCATGTAGCATTAACATCCTGCAAATGGCTATACAAAGTTGTTTAGATTGGGTGGCAGACCTGCATCTCTGATGAATGCCTTATTTAGAGGCTGCAGGTTATAGACAATCTGTAGCTTTCCACTTTTCTTCAAGACATAAAACTATCTGGACCAATATAATGGCTGACTTAGTTCATAAACCCCTGCTGCAATTTTGTCCTTGAGCAGTTTCACTACATGTTCTTGAATTCCAAGGGGTATGGATATATTTTTGAAGGCCTAAGGTACATGGAATACAGTAGAAATAATATATGGAGAGAAATAATCCTCACAAAATGATTTCCATTGACTGTCTTCAGTCAGAGATCAAAGCATTCCCGTGAATTTGAAGGATGTGCTTAAATAACTTCTCTTTTTCTGGCCAGAGAAATTCCTTAGAGTTGATATTCATCTTGTCTAAGTATTTCTGGATAAGCCTGCTTCCATCAGATACAAACTTGGGAGGTTGCTTAGGCAAAAGTACTAGCAATGCAAGTGAGTCTCTAGGGAACTGCCAGATTATGCAAGCATTCTCAGGAAACACTGCAAGAACTAGTTTCACCTTGTGATCGACTCACTTATATGCTCCAAACATAGTCAGTGTTCCTAGCTTCTGATTGGCTGAGAACAGCTGACTTCCATCTATGCAGATGACTGTGTCATTGTTGTTGAGAGTTTTCAGGAATTTCATTGAATTTGCAGTGAACATGACAGGCTCTTCATCATTCCAGTCAATGTATGTCTCACTCTTCTGGTGAAAGACACTAACAATGTCTACTCGTTCAAGCCCCAACTCCTCTGTCATATTTTCTTCATGCCCTTCCTGCTTCTGCTCTTCTTTCTTTTCTTTTGCACTGACCATTGGTGAGTTACAAGCATTTATTCCTAAGTCCTTAGTTTTTAACTCGCACTTTATGCCTAGTACAGTTGCTCTTGCATATTCCAACTTGGTGTTAGAGGCTCTTGCAAATTCATTGCTCACAGCTTTTACCAAATTAAGTAACTTAGCTGACTGCATTTCTGACTCAAATGAGCACTCCGGACATGTGAGGCAAGAACTGTGTAATACTAACTGTGTGGCTACTACAGTTGCCCAGTCTTAGCTATAAGTCTCTAATGTAGTGTCTGAATTTGTAACCTTATATGTACTAATTACAATTTCTGAATGTAATAAAGAAACATTCTGTTGAAAGTAGCATTTTGGAGGTTAGTTCACTTTCTAATGCAAATCTGCCCCTTGCTTTACAACTTGCTATACTCAGGCCATTGACTTAAAATTTGGTCCATACATATCTCCATCATAGATCTACATGTAAAAAATTATTTGGTCACAATTGGATCTGTTTTGGCTCTTCAGCATTGTGTTTTATGCTTGAGCTAGAGACTTAGACAAATTTTATGAATAGGCCACTTTTAAAAGGCACAACATCCAAATGATCTTTATACCATCAGATAGAGCACAGTGAGAGAGTCCAGAATGTGTAAAAAAGTTGTGCCAAATTAATTGTTTAAAGAAGTGATTTAGAAGGAACAAAGTGTCAGAAAATGCCAGATTAAGTGCCCAATAGGTGCCACAGCATGTTCTGCCCTCTTCATCACTTCTACTCTTTTTCACATAT